CTTTGGGATAAGACATTCAGACAATGTTAGGATGCAGAAAGCTGGCTTAGACATCATATAGGGAAAATGGTGAAATATTTCAAGAGGAAACATGGCTACCTAAGTGGCGAGGTCCAGACCTTGTATTGTTGACGGTCCATATTTTCCTAATGTTGAAAGGAATCAATCAATCGATCTACTACACCCATCTGCAGAAATTCAGGCCAGAACAAAGACAAATGTGATCTTCAGTGAACACTTCACTGTGAAAAAGTGACTGGAGAATGAACTAATGAACCAATACGAGACTCAAGTGTTTTGTCAAAAGTAATAACTGGAGGGATGGTGCTGTGTGTCTGCACCACCTAACCTTGGTTGTGTTTAACTGATTTCTAGTCTGATAAGATATTGTGGGTTTTTAAAAAATTAATGCCCTAACTTATACAGTAGGCTTAGCTTATACATTTCAGATATTGGCTGTTTTTGGTGAGTAAATTGGACAATTTAGGGAACCAGCTTTAGAAGGTACAGGCAGCCCTTGACTTATGACCACTATTAAAGCCCAAAATTTCCATTGCTAAGCAAGACAGTTGTTAAGTGAGTCTGAAACCCATCTTGGAAAACATAGGGAAGGAATTTCTTAACATCAAAATCGGTCAGGGCCTAGTGTTGACAACCCATGGCTCCAGGGCCGCATGCAGCTCTTTCGGTCCTCTGCTGTGGCTCCCTGTCAGGTGATTCCACCACTAGCTGGCCCCGCCCTTCTTCCATCCCAGTCACTCCTTGCCTGATGTGATAGCTACTGAGATCCCACAGAAGGTGCTAAATGCTAAGCAGCAAACTGCCATTTAGAAACCCTATGTGGGCCTCTTGGCTATTGGCATGATCTCATTCCCTATATTTTGGTAAAGGTGGAAAGTCCCTAACTTTCCAGATATATAGGTGATCTCATTTACTAACATCACCATTAGTCTTAAGGATTGGTTGGGCGGCTGTACCAATGTGGCTGAGGGGTTTCACCCATGTGGGATCTATTCTCCAATCCAGATGCTGTAGATATGTTGCTTTTGTCTTCTTGTAAAAACCCTATAAATGTAATAAACGCTGCCCATGCAGTCAGACATCTTGGCACCCTACACAATGACTGGTCTTTGATCACCATTGCCTGACCTGAGAAGGCAAGGGCGATGGCGAAGGATAGAGAAGTGGCCAGGGAGGATTCTCCATTGCCTCATCTCTTACTGGTGGTTCTTCCGGCCCTTGTTGATGCTGGGCATGTCTTGGTTGCTTGGGTGATGTGCAACCTACACTCTGCCCTGAGACATTGGCCTGATGCTGGCCTTGCTAACATGAAGGCTGGCAGGGTGGGAATGGAATCTGGGAGGAGGGGATGACGGAAAGTGAGACAGACTCGCAGTGCCCAACTGCAGCTTTAAGAAGCTCAGGCCAGTGGAAAAAGAGGGCTGGCCCCACCAAACTTCACCCACCTGTGCTGTGCTTTGGCCGAGCCCAGCCACTCGTTGGAGGGTCTCCCTGCTCATGCATGCTCTCCCGGCCCTGCCACAGCCAGCCAGGGGGTCCCAAGAGGAGAAGGATGGCGAGAAGGATGGCCGTCTTCAGGGAAGCCTCTGCCGCAACTCGTTCCTCAGCCAGCCCGGAGTTCCAAAAAGTTGCCAAGAAGAAAGAAAAGAAGGGAAGAGCCCCAAGGAGAGCTTGCCAGGTCAGTGTGAAAGAGTTGAGGGCTGTTTGGAAAGTGAAACAGTATTTGCTGTATGAGCAAGGAGACAGCTAGGAGCCTGGGCATGGCTTAGCTCAAGTGTTCTGTACTAAAGCTGCTTGGTGCTGTGAAACTAAAACTGAAACTACTCTGCTTGTGTTTTGCATTTGGAAGAGTTCTTTTAGATAGATAGGTAGATAAGTAGATAGAGATAGAGGGGGTGGAGATAAGAGGAGGAGACAGAAATAGATTCAGAGAAGGGGAGAGGGGAAGATATGGAGGGAGAGGGAGAGATAGATACAGGGAGAGAGGGTAAGTTAGAGGGAAAGGGTAAGATAGAGGAGAGGGGGGCAAGACAGGGAAAGAGAGAGAGATACACAGAGGTACAGAGGGGGGATTTCCTTGTGTTACTTTTTCTGCACAATAAAGTTTTTGCTTACAACCTTCTCTTCCATGTGTTCAGTTTGAGGCCTTGGCATATCTGATAATGGACTCAGCATTGGGGTAGGAAAGATAATGAAAATCAAAAGTGCCTTTTTGTTCAAGAACGATCTTTTTCCTTCTTTCAACCACGCTAGAAGTGCAATTCTTGAGGAGGAAATGATGAATATGCCAGAATCTCTGCAAACTTGAAGCAATATGGATACAATTCCAAAGAAAGACAATACCAAAGAATGTTTAAACTATCACACTATTGCACTCATTTCACATGCTAGTGAAGTTATGCTTAAAATCCTAAAAGCTAAGACTCCAGCAGTATGTGGATCAAGAACTACCAGAAGTACAGGCAGGATTTTGAATAGGCAGAAGAACTAGAGATCAAATTGCCAACATATGCTGGATCATGGAGAAAGCTAGGGAGTTCCAGAAAAACATCTACTTCTACTTCATTGACGATGCTAAAGCTTTTGATTGTGTGGATCACAACACATTGTGGCAAGTTCTTAAAGAAATGGGAGTACCAGACCATCTTATTTGTCTCTTGAGAAATCTGTATGAGGGTCAAGAAGCAACAGTAAGAACTGGATACAGAACCACTGATTGGTTCAAAATTGGGAAAGGAATCTGGCAAGGCTGTATAATGTTGCTCTGCCTATTTAACTGATATGCAGAGCATATGAGAAAGGCAGGGCCAGATGTATCAAAAATTGGAATTAAGATTGCCGGGAGAAATATCAACAATCTCAGATATGCAGAGCATACCACGGAACTAAAGAACCTCTTGATGCGGGTGAAAAGAGAGTGCAAAAGTTGGTTTGAAACTCAACAATAAGAAAACTAAGATCATGGCATCTGGCCCTCTCAATTCCTGGCAAATGGATGGGGAAGAAATGGAGGTAGTGACAGATTTTATTTTCCTGGGCTCCAAGATCACCGCAGATGGGGACTGCAGCCAAGAAATTAAAAGACACTTGCTCCTGGGGAGGAAAGCTATGGCAAATCTAGACAGCATCCTAAAAAGCAGAGACATCACCCTGCCAACAAAAGTATGTATAGTCAAGGCTATGGCTTACCCATTTGCAATGTATGGCTGTGAAAGTTGGACCATAAGAAAGGCTGAGTGCCAAAGAATTGAGGCCTTTGAACTCTGGTGCTGGAGAAGACTCCTGCAAGTCCCTTGGACTGCAAGGCGATCAAACCGGTCAGTCTGAGAGGAGATCCACCCTGACTGCTCTTTAGAAGGCCAGATCCTGAAGCTGAAACTCAAATACTTTGGCCACCTCATGAGAAGGACTCACTGGAGAAGAGCCTAATGCTGGAAATGATTGAGGGCAAAAGAAGGGGACGGCAGAGAATGAGGTGGCTGGATGGAATCACTGAAGCAGTCGATGTGAGCTTAAATGGACTCCAGAAGATGGTAGAGGACAGGAAGGCCTGGAGGAACATTGTTCATGGGGTTGCGATGGGTCGGACATGACTTCGCAATTAAAAAAAAACAATCCCATGATTTCTGCCATTTGTCTAATTCTATTATATATCCAAATTTTTTCAGCCAAACATCATTGTTTCCTTTACCTGCTCACTTTCAAGTTTAATACCTAATAAGTAGCAATATATTTTCTTTATCAGTTTTTCATCAGTTCCAGTTAATATCTGGTCCAATTCTCTTCATTCTTTATTAAAACCATATATTTTAGCATCTTTCTCATATCAAGATTGTGTCTGCATTTGTGGCCACCATGTGATGTCCATCCTGTCAGCGTTCCAGCAACCCTCCAATAACTCCGAGACAGACATCTTCTCAAAGATTCCTTTTTATTTGGATAGTACCTGGCACAACTGGGGGATCCCAAATCTGAAAGCTCCGGGCTTCCTTACAATAAGTAAAAACTACAAAATCGATCCCCTGCACCCATCATTACATCACATAGCCCAATCACCATCCGTCCCAAGTTAAGACTTCCTCTCTCTTATGCGACGACCTGACCTTGAATCAGAAAAAGAATGTTATTATGTCTAACTAGATATATTTCAATAAATTCCTCCCTCCCACATTCCCAGGCTCAAATGTGGCAGCGTGGGAGCATCAGATCTCAATATGGCTTCCAAAGCTGACACATCCCTTGAGTGCTACGCTCCTGCTTAGTTTTTAATTCCCCTTTTTCATTCAAATATTTTATATCTTACACAATTTTTTCCATATTAATAACACTAGGGTGTATAAATGCTTCCATTGTGGAAAGCCACACTGGTATTTTTAAGTAGTGTTGTTCTTTAATTTTAAGCCATACTGATAACAATGCATTTCTAACATAATGTCTTTGAAAATAACTATGTCTCTTATTCTTCCCATACCATAAAAAAAGCATGCCAACCAAGTTGAAGGTTGTGCCCTTCTAGAGTTAATAGTCTTTTCTACCTCAAATTGATCCATTCTTTCACCCATGTAAGTTCCGAGACCTGGTAGTACAATTTTTGGAGTCTTGCAACATATTCTTGCTTTTTTTCCCCCTAGCCAGATATATCTTAATATTATTTTATTTAATTCTTCAAAATATTTCCTCCCAATTTTATTGGAATTGTTTGGAATAAATATACTAGGCCTGGTAAAATATTCATTTTTATGGTAGCTACTCCTCCTGTAACTGAGTTGCAAGACTTTCCATATGGATCCTCTTGTGGATGCAAATAACCACTTCTTCTGAAACTCATCCCACACTCCATACACTTATATGGTTTCTCCCCGTGTGAATCCTTTTATGGATCTTCAGTTCTGGAGACTCACTGAATGGTTTTACATACTACTGACACTGATATGGTTTCTATCCACTGTGAGTTCTGCTATGTACAATATAGTTATTTTTTACATTGAAGCTCTTTCCACACTTGCAGCATTCATATTATCCCCAGTATGAAGCCTTTTATGGCAAGTGAGGGCCCCCGAATCGGTGAAGCATTTGTCACACTTGGTGCACTTATAGGGCTTTTCACCTGTGTGGGTCCTTTTATGGATATTAAGTTGACTTGTTTGACTGAAGCACCTCCCACAATTGGTGCATTGATACGGTTTCTCTGCACTGTGGATACTTCTATGGGACGTTAGGTGGCTGGATTTACGGAACCTCTTTCCACACTCCAGGCATTTGTACGGTTTCTCATGTGTGGGTCCGTTCGCGGGAATGAAAGCTATCAGAACGGGCAAAGCGCTTTCCACATTGCAGGTGATGGGCCGTAAGGTTTGCTGAGAAATGGAACCTCTTTCCACACTCCATGCATTGAAATGGTTTTTCCCCCGTGTGGATCCTCTTGTGTGACTTAAGATGACCTTTTTGACTGAAGCTTTTTTCGCAGTGCAGGCATTTATAAGGTTTTTCCCCTTTATGCATCCTATTATGTACGGTTAGAGTAGAGCTGCTGCTAAAGCTTTTTCCACACTCCAAGCATTCATAGGGTTTCTCCCCTGTGTGGATCCTCTTATGGGAAGTAAGCTCAAAGGAGGTCCTGAAGCATTTTCCACACTCTGTGCATTTATACGGCTTCTCTCCGGTGTGGATGCTCTTATGTAAATTGAAATTGCCTTTTTGCGCGAAGCTCTTACCGCACACTGTGCAATGATATGGCTTTTCCCCTGTATGGATCCTATTATGTAAGGTTAAAGTGCATCTTCTGCTGAAAGTTTTTCCACACTCCAAACATTCATAGGGTTTCTCCCCAGTGTGGGTTCTACTATGTACGATATAGCTTTGTTTTGCACTGAAGCTCTTTCCACACGTGCAGCATTCATATGGTTTCTCCCCAGTATGCAGCCTTTTGTGGCAAGTGAGGCCCCCCGAATTGGTGAAGCATTTGTCACACTCAGTGCACTTATAGGGCTTTTCACCTGTGTGGATTCTTTTATGGGTATTAAGGTGACTTGTTTGACTGAAGCACTTCCCACAATCGGTGCATTGATTTGGTTTCCCTCCTCTGTGGATACTTTGATGGGAAGTTAAGATGTTGGATCTACAGAAGCTCTTTCCACACTCCAGGCATTTGTATGGTTTCTCACCTGTGTGGGTCCCTTTGTGGGCACGAAAGCTATCAGAACGGGAAAAGCGCTTTCCACATTGCAGGCACTGAAAGGGTTTCTCCCCCGTGTGGATTCTGCTATGTACGATATAGCCATTTCTTGCATTGAAGCTCTTTCCGCACTCCATGCATTGAAATGGTTTTTCTCCCGTGTGGATCCTCTCGTGTGACTTAAGATGATCTTTTTGACGGAAGTGCTTTCCACAGTGGAGGCACTGAAATGGTTTTTCTCCCGTGTGGATCTTCTTGTGTAACTTAAGATGATCTTTTTGACTGAAGCTCTTTCTACACACCGTACAATGATATGGCTTTTCCCCTGTATGTGTCCTGTTATGGCAAGTGAGGCCACTTGCAAAGCGGAAGCTCTTCCCACATTCTAGGCATTTATATGCTTTTTTTCCAGTGGGGATTTTTTTCCGGGAATTCGGTTCCTTGCTCCAAGTAAACCTCATTCTACCCTCCCTGAGTTGATGTAACCTCTCCTCTCTATGGAGGCTTTCATGGGAAGTAAGGGATGCGTTGCTTCCAAAGTTGGTTCCCCTATTAATGCATTGATGCTGCTTCCTCTCTTCATAGACCCTCTTATGTGAATTAGAATGACTTTTTTGACTGAAGGTCCTTCCAGAATCCAGACATTTGTGTGGATCCTCTGCTTTGTGAATCTTTTTATGCAATGCAAGAGAGCGGCTTGTACCAAAGCTTTCTGAACACTCTGTACATTTGTACGGTTTCCCTCCTTCTTTTATTTTTTCATGTAAAGGAGGAGGAAGGCTCCTTCTGGGGTGTTGCCTGCTTTCATCTTGTTTCTCTCCAGCTGGGCTTTTGCAACAGTCACCTATTCCAGATTCATCACAGAGTCTTTTTCCACACCATGAACACACTTGTTTTTCTTGGCAATCATCTGTGTCCAATAAGACATTGGTATCTGGACAAGGTAAACCAGAGCAATTCTCCAGCTCCCCTGTTAACTGGTTTTGCTCCAAACATTGCTTTACATACAGTTTTTCTGTAACTTCCTTTTTGTCTTTTGGCAAAGGTGCTGCTGTCTCTTGGCCAGAATCCTCCATCTCCCATCCATCACCTGCTTGCAACAGAAAAAGAAAAGTTAAGACAGGTGCAAAAGGGATCAAGCACCATTGGACTGTATGAAACTTCCTCCAAACTTCCATTTGTTCAAAACATTGTGTTATGCTTGGTATTAAGTTGATATAAGATTTGGCCTTTGGGACTCTCTTGGCTTCAACGGTACAGAATAAAAAGCTGAACATGTTGGATAAGATCATTTAAAATTGGGGGGAAGTGGAGGTTCTCAGTTCTACTGCTTCAGATTTAGTTCCAAGGAAGCAGACAGGATATTTTAAAGTGGCTTATGTTTTTTCATTCATTCATTCATTCATTCATTCATTCGTTCGTTCGTTCGTTCGTTCGTTCCTTAAATTTATCGGCCTCTTAGCTTGCCATGGGAAAACCCTGAAAGGATCACAATATTAAAACTATATAAAACCTATACACAATAAAATAAAACATTATAAGAATACAAATACTGAATCCTAATTAAACATAATAGACTTGATGATGGAGAACCTATTGGTTTAATTTCAATCTGAGAAGGTAGAAATGTTGACGTCCTTGGACCTGGGAAATGAGCTTCAGCCTCATCTCCATGAAGAGATTTTTGCCTGAACAAAAGCGGTTCTCACTCTGGGGTATTCATTCCTCCTTATCCCAAAGGGGCTTTTTCTTAAGGCAACTGGACTTTCTTTTTTCCTTGAACATGTTTCCCTTCTCATCCAAGAAGCTTCTTCAGTTCTGATTCTTTCCGACCAGATGACTACAAGGAGTATAAATCCTTGTGTTAAACCCGTGGATTCTTATCGGGCTCTTAAGTGTCATCATTGTAGACCAAAAAACAACAAAATGAAAGCAACTTCTAAAAAACAAGTGCGAGAGGCAGGATGGGAAACAGGCTAGGATGGGAAACTTCATGGAGAGAGTGTGGAGATTTAAGGCCATTTTATCAGACTAGGTAGGAGTACGAATGTAGAGAAGGAAACTCTTATCTACTGCATACATCGAATAAATTAACTCTTTTATCTGAGCTGCTCACGTCCAACACCCTTTCAGACCAGGGGGGAAAAACCTGTCAGGGAACTCAGTAGGCATCCAAATGAAGTCAGATATCCCGACACAAACTTGATATAAATTAATGTTACATACATACACACACACACACACTGTAAATATATATTTAGAGTAAAATTTCATCCAGTTGGTGAAAGTGTTGGGCAGCTTGACCAGCACACACAGCTTTACCTGTTGTTTGTAAGTTACAGTAATTAAATAGTTTTCGGAATTGCACAAACCAGCCACGACTGCCTCCAAAGGTCTCATTATACTCCTCACCTGCTGCTTGCTCTAGTGTTTCCAAAATGCTCCGTGCCTTTCCCTGAATTGGATGAAGACTAACGGGACTTCTTTTTGGGATCGGATCGTCAATTCAAAGCACAAGGAGCTGATCTGTTTTTGAAAGGAGGCCTGTCCTATTTCTCGTGATTGTGGCATCAGTTCCTTGAACTGATTTAATCGCCTCTTTTATCTTTTCTTTACCCTTAAGGATTGTGCATATGGTGGAACAAGCCAGTCCTCCTCCTTTTTCTAAGGTCTTTACCTTCTTCCCCTCTCATGGGCTTTAATTATTTTCATTTTCAAGTCCAAATTGATACTTTTCCTTTGTTTCTTACCTCCATGTTGAGCCGGAGTAGAGCTTGGTCGCTTTCCTTGGGAAGACACTTCTAGCCTAAGAAAGAGTTGATAGAAAAGGACAGTATCTTGCCCTGGAGAGAGAGAGAGAGAGAGAGAGAGAGAGAGAGAGAGGCTGGCTCAGAGCTGTTTAGTAAAATCAATGTTATGGTTCAGGGAGGAAGTATTGTAGGGCAATAATGTGTCTTCTTTCTCTGTCGACCATTTCTTTCCCTTGACAAAAGCATAACAATGGTCGCTGCTAGCAGCAATATAGTGCACAGTATTTGAAAGTCTTTTATTCACAGTATTGTATTAAACTGTGGTTTATATACTCTATCTCTGTGTTTAACCTGTTCCACTTGGTTATTTGTTCCCTTCCTGCACAGCATCTGCAAGATTGAATCTGATTCTTAACAAACGGGAGAGAGTGAATTGTGGAGGCCAGTACTCTCCATACTGTCCATTTGTGAAGAAAAGCCAGGCTTCATAGAAAAGCATGAAAACCTCAGATAAATAGCTTGCAAATTTGAAAATCAGCACCTTAGAGAAGAATACAGCAACAAAAAACAAGTAATAGTGCTGGAGGAGTTGACGTGCATTAAGTTTAAAAAAAATATTTTGCACTACAGTAACAGAATCCCTTACCTAAGGAGGCCACGTTCCTCTTGTTTTCCAGCATGACTTCTTGGTACAGGGCTTTTTGCTCAGAATCCAGCAGGGCCCACTCCTCCATGGAGAAAAACACAGCTACATCCTCAAATGACACCAAATCCTGACTCAGGGAGGGGGGAAAAAAACCACAACGTATTTCCATGAACATTCCTAACAATGAACACTTCAATGAATTACAAGCAACTCTTCTTAATGAAAAACCTCCACAGCTTCCAAGTAGGGAAACGAACATGCAGGATATTGAATTTAGCAGCTGGAACAGTAAAGTCTACAATTGTAGCGGATTAGTTAGAGAATGTTGACTCATGCAGGATGCAATCTACGCTACGATTAGCTGCTGTAAGTAGAAAGGGGGCGTTTCCCTTTTTTCCCTCCTTTTTTCCCTCTCTGTGTTCTGCATGATGCTAAGCTTAGATTTACCTCATGATGTTCCTCTGTTTTCCTGACTATTGTAGGTTCTTCCTTTTCTGGATGGTGACAACGACTGCTGTCAATTTCCATGTTATATATATATTTATGTTTACATAAAACTCTCCAAGTCTATGTCAGTGTCTCCAATTTCAAATGGGCAGCTGCTCCGCTCTCTACGAAAGCCAAGCTTGGACTTTACTTTTTACTTTGGGCTTTCATGTTCACTGCTTTAAAAAAACCCAGAGTAAAGACCACACCTGGAATACCGAGTTCAGTTTTGGTTACCACATTACAAAACAAGATGTGAAGACTTTGGAAAAAGTGCAAAGAGAGCAACCAAGGATTAAAGGCTTTGAGATTAAATGACACAAAAAACGGTTGCAAGAACTGGATATGGCCAGTCTAGAGAAAAGAAGGACCAGGGGAGACACAATAGCAGGTTCCAATATTTCTGGGGTTTCCACAAACAAGAGGGGGCTCAACTTATTTTCCAAAGCACCAGAAGGCAGGAGAAGAAACAATGGATGGAAACTGATAGTGGAGAAAGGCAACCTGGATTTAAGGAGAAACTTCCTGACAGTGAGAACAATTAACTAATTGAAGGGTTTGCCTTCAGAAGTTGTGGGCTGGAGGTTTTTAAGGAGAGACTGAACACCCACTTGTCTAAAAGGTTATAGGGTCTCCTGCTTGAGACAGGGGGATGGACTAGAAGATCTCCAAGATCCCTTCCAATTGTGATATTCTGTTATTGGGAGATTGGCACATCTGGGGAGGGGAGGGGAGAATCCTCCTACCTGGGTTGGAAGCTCAGCCACTGTTGATCCTCCATTACAAAGAACTGAGTTTCTGGGAGATGAAGCCATGGCCACGAGAGGGTCTAGGAGTGGGGAAAAAACAGCAAAGGAATAATTGGCTATCAAACATCCTAAGGATATTCTTGAACATCCTATGATTTTAGCCTATTTCTTAGCTAACCAGGGAACCCCTCACATAGAGTCCTTTGCAGCCACAGCAACAACACACAGAATCTCATTCTGGGTGAGAGGAAAACCGAAAGGTGTGGAAGGACCAGGAATTGGATTCAGAGGCAGATTATCTCAGCCATGTGCATTAAAGCACCAACTCTGTTATTCTATGTTGCTATAATGTTCACCTTCCCTTATGAGAGAATCAAGGAAGAGGACAAAAACTGTATTTTCACAGCTGGGACACAAGTGGGGAACTAAGGGCCTTTTTTAATGCCTGGACTGCAACTCCCAGACTACGTGAGCCAGCTGGCTGAAGAATTATGGGATTTGAAGTCCACCAGTCATAAAAGGGCCATAACTTCCTCACACCTGGATGACAGCCACGTTTCTCAATCTTGGCAGCTATTGAGCTATGTGGACTTCAACACACGTGGGAAATTCTGGGAGTGGAAGCCCACAAATCACAAGGTTGCCCAGGTTGAGAAACAATGGCCCACAGGAAAGAGCGACGCCTTTTTAAATGCACCCCAAAATGCAGTTCAATTGGACGATGGGAACGAGGAAAGGAAGGCGGGCGAAGAGATGGAAGGGCGTCCGGAGGAGCCTTGAGCCGATGCTCTCTCCGGAGGGGGCTCGTCTTGAGCAGCTCCCCGAAACAGCAGCTCCAGGGAGGGATCGCCCCCTTTTCTCCCCGCCGGTTTCGCAGCCCTTCAACTCCGAGCCTCCTGGATGTGAAACGGCCCCAGAGCAAAGGAAGCGACGGGAAACGGCCAGGAAGGGCCGGCAGAAAAGAAAGGAGAATAAGAATCATCTCCCCCAGGAGAAAGTGGGGACGGCAGCAGCGATCTTAGCAGCGCCCCAAGAAGCTGTATGGAAGGATCACCTGTCCCGGCATTTCCCAGGAAGGAAGGAAGGAAGGAAGGTTTTTACCTGGCACGCAATAGGAAAGACGCGGCTCTCTTCCTCGGCCGGACTCGGCTTCCTTCCTTCCCGGCCACGCATGTGGATCCTCCTCCCCGGAACGACCCTCACCAGGAGTTTGCAGAGCCCAAGCCGGAAGCGCTCATAGCTCCTCCCATTCTGTACAGGGCAGGGAGCGCTGCCTATTCAGGGGTCCCCCTGCCTGCCCATTCCCCCTCTCCCCCCCCCCCCGGTCCTGGGCGGGATGGCCAGCTGGGCAGCGAGTACATTGCTTCTTTGGCTCATGCAGCTAGAAAAACAGGGGGAAGAGGGAGGGGACGAGGCCCAGGGACGGGAGCAGGAAGGGGAAGGGGATGCGGAGCATTAAGGTGAAGGAGCGAATTGCCCTTTAACAGAATAACAGAGGTGTGAGGGACCTTAGAGGTCTTCTAGTCCAACCCCCAGGCAGTCAGAGAAAGGGGAGAGAGGGAGGGGGCAAAGTTCGGCAGGAAAAGGAGCTTCTCTTACCCACTTATCCATAGTCCTCAACTTACAACTGACTCCCTTCAATGACTAACAGTCATGATTGTGCCAGAATAACAATCAAGTAGTCCTAACAAGTAGTCCTTGACTTACGGCCATTGGATCAGTGGCTGGAGAGACAAAGGCACTGAAAAAAGTGACATTTTCGCACTCAAGACGGGTGCAGCACGTCTTCAAAATCCAGCCACTTGACACCTGACTCATATTTATGATGGTTGCCATGTCCCAAGGATCACAGGAAGCTCCAGACAAGCGAAGTCAATGGGGGAGCCAGATTTGGTCAATGACTGTAACAACTACAGTGATTTGCTTAACAACCATGGCAAGAAATAGCGTAAAATGGGATGAAACTCACTTCACGAATGTCTCACTTAGCAACAGACTGAATTGTGGTTGTAAGTTGAGGATTGCCTATATTTGAAGGGTCGATGGGGCATGTCGAAGAGTGACACAACTTAGAGGTGGCTCCCTTGCCTCAAAAGAGGAGAATAAAGAGAAAAGGGGGAAAAAATCCCCAGAGAATCTGCTTTTTTCCAATATTATCCCTAATAAATGGGGAGCCAAAGAACCCCCTGATGATCCATAAGGGAGACCCATTAACTTTCTCCCTCTGAAGCTGAAGAAAACCTCGGAGCCAAGAAATATTTAATATATTTAACTATGTAAAAGGCCTGAGGCAGGAAATATTTAAAGGTCTATGAATTTCAGAAGAAAAACAACTAAAGCGTACAGGCAGCCTCGACTTACAGCCATCTGTTTAGTGACGGAAGTTACAACGGCATTGAAAAAAGTGACATGTCCATTTTTCACACTTACGACCGTTGCAGCATCCTCATGGTCATGCGATCCATATTCAGCCACTTGACACCTGACTCACATTTATGACCGTTGTGGTGTCCTGGGGTCAGGGGATCCCCTTTTGCGACCTTACGACAACACCAAAGGGAAAACCAGATTCACTTAACAGCCATGTTGCTAATTTAACAACTGTGGTGATTCACTTAACAACAGAGTCAAGAAAGGTCAGAAAATGGAGCAAAATTGACTTAATGTCTCACTTAACAACAAAAATTTATGCCTCACTTGTGCTTGTAAGTCAACTACATCTGCAAAATATTTCTCCCACTTAAAACAGCTCCAAACCTAACGAAGCCTGCTTCCAGTTTGCAGAGAGGAGGATCCTGGCGGATTCCCCATTTCCCACTCAAGAATTGCGCTTCCAAAGTGGCTGAAAGGAGGGAAGAGATCCTTCTGAACTCAAAGGCACTTTTGGTTTTCCTCACCTTTCCTGCTCCAGGCACTTTGCCAGATATGCCAATGTCTCAAACTGAACCCATTGAAGACAAGATTGGAAGCAAAAACTTTATTCGGCAGAAAAAGTAACACAAGGAAATCTCCCTCAAAGCCTTTGTACCCCACCAACGCCCACTGGAGGGCTTTACACAGCATTTGCCACACAGTGTTGAAAGGCTGTCAAAGTGCCTTTCTTTGAGGATTCGAATTTTCCCGCTGGGAGAGTTCCGGCGCAAGGATTCAGACAACTGCTTGAAAGCCGGATCTTTTTATTGTCAGGAAGGCAAGAGACAGTGCGGCTGCGTTCCTGGGGCTAGCTAGCTAACTTCGAATGGTAAGTCCCTGGCTCTTTATACCTTTTTCCTCCCTTTGTGTGTAAATGTTCGCTTAGTGTTTAATGTTTAATGTTTAGATATTAAAATCCTGTCGGAGTTTAATTTTCGCCGGAAGGCATACTTAGCCAGGTGCGGAAAATAAACTCTGTGGGGCGGCTTGATTGCCTTATCGGTTCTTTCTTAATCTCTTTTACTTTTATAATGGGTTTTTCTATTTGTTTTCTGGCAATCTCCTGTCTGTTTCCTATGTAATTTATTCTGTGTCTTTTGTCTGTTTGTTTTGCTGATTTGGCATGTCCTGTAAGGGTTTTCTTTTCCTTGTTTCCCTAGCTTTCTTAATTACTTGGCTTTTGTCTAGGGGGCTTCTTTCAATACTTTTTTATTAAATTTCTTTTCCTATGCAAGTTTGTTCTATGGCTGGCCTGATGTTCCCCTCGGGCTTTTCCTGCTTGGGTGTCACCACTGTCCTCGTGAAGTTCCCTTTCCACAACAGTTTACACCTTTCAGAGTCAGAAGGAATTTTCTCATCTCCCTTTACAGCAATTCCTGCCTGTTTTACATAGCTTTCCATGATATTTTCTATCTCCAGCATCCTTCTTCTTTTTCAAGGTGTTCAAATCTCTCCTATTTGTGCCTTTTGCCTTCTCCCATTGTACATTTTGAGTTTTTAACTTTTTATTTAGACAATTCAGGGGTTTCTTGATGCTTGTAATTTTTCTCTTGAAGAGCAAGGAAATATTGACTATAATTCTTTCTCCATTTTCAATGTATTTGATACTGAAATACTTTACAGCAAGGAGGCACTAGAAACAAGACCATAATTCCATAAGTCTAGGCCAGGGTTTGCAAACTTGGCAACTTTTAAGACTCATAGACTTCAACTCCCAGAATCCCCCTGTTCTGCCTCTTGCACAGAGCTGGATTTATAGCTGTGCAGATGCAGATAGATAACAAAGCTTCCATAACAAAGTGCATTTATTGGTATATCAGGTATCTTCATAACTCACATTTATGACAAAGTTCTTCTTTAATGAGCAATCCTTCGTATATCTGCCTTGTACATGAAAGATGGTTATCTCCTAACCCAGGGGTCCCCAACCACCGGGCCGTGGACCGGTACCGGGCCGCGGAACAAGTCTTACCGGGCCGCTGGTTGCTGGGCGCCGCCATCTTTTTTTGGTAAAAAAGTGCTTCCGGTGAGCTTTTCCGGGTAGAAAGCTCACCGGAAGCACTTTTTCGTCAAAAAAAGATGGCGGCGCCCAGTTGATGCCGGTACCGGGCCGCGGCGCCCAGCTGATACCGGTACCGGGCCGCGGCGTCGAAAAGGTTGGGGATCCCTGTCCTAACCCATCTCGTAGCAATAGAAGGAAGATACCATGAGGTAGAGAGTTCAGATAAAGAATGAGGAAAACTCCCTTAACCCAGTGGTCCCCAACCTTCTTTGTACCAGGGACCGGTTTCAAGCAGAAACACTTTTTCAAGGACCGGGGGGGGGGGGGGGAGAAGAGAAGGAGGCTTCATTCTCTCGCTGCTCCACCAGCCCAGGAAGAAACTGCTTCAAAGAAGCGGGGGGGGGGGGCTTTTCCTGTCGCCGCAGCTACTCCGAAGCGCCCGTTTCACCCCCACCCCCACCCCGCCCGCCCGCGCGCACTTAAATCCACAGTATCCCGTTCTGCCTGCCTGCCTGCCTGCCTTAGTTTCTGGTTGTTTGGGAGCAGCTTCGGCTGAGAATAATAACTATTCGCCTCTTTTACTCAGCCGAAGCTGTTCTGATTCAACCATTAACGAAGGCAGGCAGGCAGGCAGAACGGAGCACTGGGTTGAACCCCGCGCGCGTGCGCGCGGGCAGGCGGGGTGGGGGTGGGGGAGAAACGGGCGCTTCGGAGGCGTTGC